CTAATGTTTTAAACATCTTAGATTGCTTGATTTATATATAGAATTACGTAATATGTATAGCTATCTAAGATGAATTGAACATTCACATCACACATCACCAGCCCTTTTACGTCCCCACTGCAGGGGCTCAGGCCTTCTTTATGGATGGTTAAGGAGGATGGGCCATGACCTTCCACGCTGGTCCAATGCGGATTGGAGGGTATTGACGACTGCAAATGCAGCCGGGACCAACGGCTTAACGTGCCTTCCGAAGCACGGAGCAGCTCGAGATAATAATTTTTAGGTCACCCATCCCGTGACCGACCCTTGCGAAAGTTGCTTAACGACTACAATCGTGGGCCGCGGCGCTTATCCACTACGCCACCGAGCTACTCGAATTATAATTGAACATTATAACTACAAAATGTTCGAAACACGGAGCAAGTTCACTCAAATAATATTCCGTTACATGAATGCTACATATATCTAAATATATAAAAAAGAATTGATTGTATGCTGTCTTATTTTTTTTTTAATTTCCTTCCTTTTGTTTTAAAGGGAACCGTTATAACCGTTCTATTATGGATTTATTCATCATCATCATTATCAGCCCTTTTGCATCCTCACTGCAGGGGCTCAGACCTTCTTTACAAATGTTTAAGGAGGAAGGGTCGTGACCCTACTCGCTGGCCCATGCGGATTGAAGGGGATTAACGACTACAAATGCAGCCGCGAAAACGGTTAAAAGTGCCTTCCGAAGCACGGAGTAGCTCGAGTATACATGTTTACTTTGTTTTGGGTACCCATCCCGTGATCGACCTTTGCAAAAGATGCTTAGCACACATGATCGCAGGCCGAAGCGCTTATCCACTATGCAACGGAGCTACTCTGTGTAGGACATAATTTTAATAAATATATGAAACGTTTCGAAATTTCGTTCGTGAACAAAGTCGATCGTCTATAATTCAAACTGATATGGATACATTAAAAATAGCAAATGACATGGGATAACATAAATACTGAAACTGGAATAGAAAAATCCTGGAATACAAATTTTAATTTAAACATCGATAATAAAAAAGTAATATCAGATCTTGAAGTTGCTGTAGTATTTGAAAATTTATTTACTGAAATTCCAGTCTCAATTACACAATCTTTGAATTCCTCTTCCACTATTGCTGAATCTATTTTAAAGGCCAATTTAAATAACCGTAAAGCCAATTTAAGTTACAATACATTGATTTTAAAGATATAATATATAATAAAATCTTTAAATCAGCAAAAGAAAACGAAAACCGCTTATTTATGGGGTAATTGCAATGACGTTTCCAAATCTGCAATTGAGACGATTGCTCTAATCCTCGCTTATGCTGCAGCTTATGCCGTAATGAAGATACGTAGGTTAACTAACATAGATACTGACATATTAGTATACTTCAGTTACTTTCATAGCATAATGTCGTACGTAATACTATTGTGGGGAAATGCTGCTGACATACAAACGATCTTTGTGCTTCAGAAAAGAGCAATTAGATCAATTTATAATCGTAGGATTAGGAACTCTTTAAGGGAGAAATTTAAGGAAATAGACGTAATGACTTTTGCTTCATAATTTATATAAATAAAAAAAAGAAAATAAAATAAATTAACGGTGCCTGTCACTAGGCTGCAAAAAGTTAACAACTCATTCAGGGATTTTTGTGTGCGTTTCTACAATAAGGTCCCAAGCAAAATACTTACAACAATTAGATATCATGCAGTTTAAATCTACTATTAACAAATACTTATTAAAAATTCTTATTACAAGGTATCCGATTATAAAATAGATAAGAATGCTAGGAATTAAGATGGTCCAGCAACTGGATAGGTGATTTCTTCTAAACTCATTATATCTCAAAAATTATCTTGTAGCGCTTTAAATTATTATGTTATTATTATAAGACCATTGTTTTTTTCTCTCTATTTATAAAGTATTGATCCGGTAATGATATGTTATTATAAATGTCATTACTCCTATTGAAGCTAGCGAGTTTCTTGCTCGTTCTTCTTATCAACCAAAAGACGTCCTGAACGAATGGCAGGGAAAGGAATGTTGGTCGATTCAAAAGTCCTTTTAAGAAGTCTATTTGAATAAAGATTATTTTGATTTTGACATATGAACTTTGGCTTTTTGGCCACTTATTGTGTTTTCTCCAATATTGTGTTCACTACCATTTTCTGCTAAATATCCAGATATAAATATAATATTATAAACAAAATAAAAAATCACGATTAATGAATAGCGAAGTCTAAAAAAATCGGATAATTTATTTTCCTCTTGTTAGTCAGTTAGTTATTATATATTATCGAGTCAGTTTCCGATAGTGCCTTGTTCCCGTAAAACTATATTCAAATGGTGTCACAAAGCGTCAAATTAAAGTTTCACCCTTAACCTTGAAAATGATATAGTTTATTTTAACTGGATACCTACCTGTTTCTATGCAACAAATCAATATAACAGCGCATTCACACTGCACTTACCTGTGTATAACGCACACATACCCGTATCTCCGTGTAAACATTGAATGTTGAGGGTTAATATCAAGGTCTTCATAGTGAAACAAGGATGGCATGACTTCTCCAAAATAATGTAATATAAATAATAATTAACAATCACTAGTACAAATTTTACTTGTAGAAACATCATTAAAAAATAAATCTGAATAAAAAAACATTTATTCTATAATTTGATATATATACTTGTTTCGTAAATACATTAAAAACTTACTGATTGACGATGAAACCATAGCCCTAATTTTACAAAAAGCAAAAGTAACAATATAGTATGTAATTTAATATTGTTCATCCCTAGATAATAAATAAGGGTTGAAAAAATTCTACAGAATATCTTAATTTGTATTTGAACTTGTTCTTTGAATTAAATAAGTATTAATATCGCGGAAAAATTGACTAAAAAAATTTCATATTTGAAATAGTTCATGATTTATAGTACTGTTTTCCTTTTCTCTGTAAAACGCACAAGAAAATTCATGACCGTGAAAATTGAATCGTTTAATTTATTTATATTTTTTAGACGAGAATAATTTATAGGCTTTTATCATTACAATGATCTAAATTATATTAAATATGAACATGCTATGTATAAGATTGTTATTTAATCTTTTTATTTATGATTAAAGCAATCAAATAATAATCAAATCGCAACAAACGGTTTGACTTGAATTTTATAGACATTCTATTGTATACATCCATTTATTTAACAAATTTAGCTAGTTACTTAGTTATTTAGGAATTATTTTGTGATATAATATTATTAAATTATTACGAACAATTTTATTTATACACCGTTATTTATATGTCAATATAATTGTTTTAATAATTGAATTCTGCGATATTATATTAACTTAACATACCTATAATTTTCAAAGAATTTATTCCTATAAAAGTTATATGTGTAAAAATAAAGTTTATCGTAATATTTGTAATATACCACGCTCTAAATATTTTTGGTTTGGTTTATTAATGTTAATTATACGAGTGTTTAATGTATGTAATAAGCTTAACTTTCTGTTGTCTTAGTTATTAAATAATTGAAATAGCCGTTGGTTAGGGTTAAAAACTAAAATTAGTACATTTAATTTATAATTATGATTAAGTCTAATCTTACCTTTAATGAAGAACAGCACACGGCACCAACACAATTAATTCGTGTTATTTATTTAAAAGAATTTTTAAGTTTTTTTTTTATATAATAAACTGATGATAAGTCAATTGTTATTATCTGTATTTATATTTGAACGGTAAGAGACTACCGCGCTCGACGGAGTCTGTGACCAGTATGAAGGAAGCATTACTTGGGAGTTGGAACGATCCCTGCCTTCCAATGATAAAAAGGTAGAATAACGATTAATGTTTTGCATTTAGGGTTAAAATAAAGGACGCTTTAGTTTATTCTCTCCCAGTAAGTTAAAGTTGAGAATAAATTGTTTTTTTTTATTATTTATTAATCATGTTTACTTTATTGTGATAAGATCTATAGCGATGAACAATCAAAAACATTTAGGGCTTATAAGGTGTCTTCCGAACCATGGTTGAGCTCATTATAATGAAATTTTGGTCACCCATCCATGACCTGTCTTCGCGATACTTCTCAACTTTGGCAACGCCGACCGACTGCGCCAATCAATCCATTAAGCTCATTTGGTTAAACATATATAAAAAGAGTCGAATTTTTAGGGTTTATAGTTACTTATATTTTCGCCATGTCCAGACGTCCACGGTTTAGCTCAAAAACAATTTGTTCTAGAAAGTTGTAATTTGGCACGAGTACACATACGCATTAATCATTCCGACGATATGATAAAATAAAATCTAGTTTCATTCCTTACAAAGGATTATTATAGATTTGTCACAAAATTTGATATTTTTGTTTTATTGGTCATGCATGTCTCTGATTCTAAAAAAGTTCCGTCTGGTTTGGTCTGGTTGATTTATATAAGTTTTGTACATTAAAAAGTTGTTTTTATATCAAATTATCGTTGAAGAGGATGTGTCGTAGTATAAGCAATAAAAAAATGATAAATTTTTAATAATCTCAAAAAAATAGAATTTCCATACAAAATTGCTGTTTCTATTCTCGCACTTTCATTGTCTGCAAAGTGACAAATCAAAGAATTGTGTGAACGCATTAATCTATACTTATATTAAAAAGAGGTATGTTTCTAGTGGATAATCTTCGGAAGTTCTGATTCGATATTGATAATTCTTTTAATTACGGAAAACTACATTATACGCGGGTGACATAAGCTATAATTTACGTGGGTGAAGTTCCAGGAAAACAGCAACATCAATAAGATACGAAATCTCTAACATTCCTTATTATTCACTGTCTTTGTTCTCGTTTATAGGGTAGTTTATTGAATTTACAATATAAGAAAGAAATATGTTCATTTTACATTGTAAGATTCTAAGTGTTTGTTTATAATAAAATTTGGGTATTTATCGGTTTTCGCTTCTTCCAGAAACCTCCAAGTCCTCACTGTCGTGACTGCAGCAAGTTCATGCAGCCTGGATTGACACCTTTTCAGCTAGCTTGGGCCCAGGATGCTGGTCAAAAGAGATGGCGCTATTACCCTGACCTGACCGCTTCACTTACCCCAGAAGAAATTAGGAAGTCGATGGACGAGTATGTTTTAGATAAGTCATTTTCTGCACGTCAGTTGATTCGGAGCCAAATCGATGCAAATCAACAAACATTCAAACAAATAACAAACAATCTAGTATTTCCTCTTTATATAAAAGTATAAATAAGCATTTTATTTAAATGCTTATTAATGCTAAGAACCTTTGATGGTAAGTAATCCTAGGATTTCATATCTTCTATGTATTTGCATCGATGCGTCTATACTTAATAGCAAATTTGATATTAGAATTACGTCAAAAGATTTCATATTCTCATGATATTTCAAAATTGCTTATAAATAAAGAAACTTTACATAAATTAAGAAAAATAATTCTTTTTCTCCTGCTACTTGATTAAAAAAAACTATAATTAAAACAACGTGAAAGTTTAAAATCATTGTTTACTTACTATATTTTAATTGGAATTGATTTTAAATTTTGAGCCAATTAACAAGAAATTTATTTATAATTGCAGCGTGGGTCGCCCTTTTCAGAACGAAGCCAGCAACTGGTATTACAAGAATTATCCATCCCTAAAATTCAATGTTATTGTTAGAAAATTTTCAAAATAAAAGACTTTTATTTACACTTTACTGAATTATTTTATTTTACCGACTAATTTAACGTGGTACTGAAAAATTGATACTCTAGGGGATAATCGGATCTAGTCCTTCCCTCTCACGTTGATAAAAATTACTTTATACGAGCAACTCGCCATCTTCTGGTCCTATCTATCTCATTGCGCGCAGTATATAGATAGGGACAGTTTTTTGAAATAACATTCCAGCTTATCGAAATCATCAGCAATTACTATCCCACAGATTTCCTCTCTATCAGTGCTATTAATAAAACAGGTTTAGCGTCAGAGTAAATTTACGCTAAAATTACAATTTTAATATTAGGCCAAATTCATTTTATACAGAGAATACAAACCTACTACCTTCTTGGAGTTTCAATAATCCTAGAACCTCGTCCTAGGTTAACCTTTGCTAAGTCTATTTAATAATATTTATTTAATTCTTTATGCACAATGGTTTAAATAAACGATAAAAGCAGTTGCATATCGTCGCTGCGCCTGCAAAGTCGCTATTTGATTTTTCTTAATTTTTGGTTTTTTATATAATTTTGACCCTTATATCATTACAAGTAAGGTGTAAAAACAGTTTTGTGATAAAACTACTAACGAAGTTCTAAAAAATAGTTATGTGACGTTCATATATTGAATATTCCTAAAAAAGCACTAAGTACCTAAAATCACATAACTATAGAAATTCACTATTCAATCATGTTCATCAACTGCGCCCGTTATGTGTCAGTTTGACACATAGCGATATTTTTGTACGCGATTGGACGAGATTGTTTTCACGAGTTGAGATCACTACAAGTAAGTAAATGAATAAGTTGTATCATATTATTTTTTATATTAACTTAAGGTTGAGTTAATTTTGGGTTGCATTGGTTTAGTTGGTGAATGGATTAAAACTGTAATAAACTGGTACTGGTTACAATAATTGTTTTAAGTTTACGCTCGTAGCTTTGCTTGTGTTAGAAACTAAACTTCCCACCCTGGGATTTACTGAGATTAAAATATTTTTTTATCTTATTTATTAATTATAACGGAGTGCCTTATTTTCTAAGCGCCTTATACTTCTGTATTACAATAATTTCTAGTATAAAAACAAATATAAGCCGTTTTATTACGCGGCCCAACGCTAATTGCTTAACTAATCCTTAATTTTGCTCTTTTAGGATTAACAACAAGAATGCCTAGGTTTTGGAGAAGTAAACGTCTTGTGTCGTTATGCAAAGATCCACAACAGTCGTACGTGAGCTGGCTTTAGAGCTGGAAGAAGAATCGTCAATGTAATATCCACCTACTACAACAGTCCAAAGGGAGAACTTATGTGAAAATACAGATTATGCTATTAATACTTTTGCCGATTTCACTAATATTATTACGACAGCAAGTCAGGAATCAATCACAGGAATAACAGGTACAATCACAACAACTATTATAGGATCAATTGAATCTTGCTTAGAACTACAAACTAACTATGAGCCATGTTATATTACCACATGGCTCATAGTTAATTTGTAGATTCTTCTGATGTAATGCTTTACCTGAACGATAAAACTGGTTGTTTTGAACCTATCATTGAAAAGGAAAACAATAATAGTACCATTCAGGAAGATGTGGTGGTTCTGGAGGAAAAACTTGGAGTCTTACTTTAATGGTGAGTCCATTTAAGTAAGACTGCCAGGCTCTAAACATCATACGCCGACGAAAAACGTCTAAGGATGCACAAAAAAAATGTAGAATTTGATTGCTATTTGCCTAGCATGAATGGTGTGAAGGTACGTGTTTGTAAAGAACTTTTTCTTGCAACGCTTGTTTAAATAAAGATGTATTACAGCTATAGAGTCGATTTAACATTGTTAAGGTTTACTAGATCGCATTGGCTATAAGCTGAAATGATCGATGTAAATGTTGTTGATAATAGATAAATAAATAAAACATAGATTTAAGAGAGAATGGTGAAAATAATATTATCCGAAAAATCGATACAGTTGCTAATCATTTTACAAACACAAATCTTAAGTCAGGGTCTGTGAAAAAGTGGCTTGATGATATACCAAAAGTACCAAGTCATTATTGTCGAGCAAATAGTTCCAGGACATACACTGAAGAATCATTCGAATCTTTTACTCACATGCACTATAAAGTGCATATAAATAATTATATGGCCTGGTGCCAGGAAAATAATGCATACGCCGTACAGAGAAAAAAAAATTACAGAGATTTTGAAAGAACAGAATTTTTTACTATAAGACATGGTAGAATAGTTGGTGATGCAACTGTGACAGATTAAGGAGGACTTATTTATGTCAATGGTGAAGTGCAATATAAATTACGCCATTCCGATGACTGGGGATACTTTGCCACGAAGACGAATAAACACATCGCTTAACACGGAACCAGCAGGGCTGTACAACGGTCCATTGAAAATCGATGCCACTAAATATAAACATTTACAAAGCCTAAAACATAATTGATCTCATTCTGAAATCAAAGTACAAAAATTGTAATTAGGTACGTAAAATGATTAGGTTTGACTGATTTTAAGACTTGACTTGACTTGATTTTAAGACTAACAGCGCTACTTATAAACGTGGTATAAAATGTTATACCGAGAATTAGTGCAGAATACGCAAAATGTCAACTTATAAACTCGGTGTAACTTATGCTTAGCATAACCTGGATGTAACGTTCTAACAAAACTTATTCCACCGATATTCCGCCCGTCACCCTAGTATAACTCTGGTTTAGCAACGCATTTGTCAAATGACATTTTGATATTGTTGATGCTTTATTGATATTTACCAAATATTTACCGTATTAGATAATTTTTAATAATATTGAAACATGTGTTTATTGAAATATGGCGTTTAGACAATACAAGAAGTGGAAGAAATTAATAATTTGATCAATCGCTCGCAAATGTTTAGGACGAGAAGAAAATCTAAAATATTTTGAACTAGAAACGACCACTTCTTTTTGTACAATGACGACGAATTTCGTATAAAATATCGTTTTTCCAAAGACGGCGTCTTATTTTTAGAACATTTATTTGGCAGTGAGGTATATTGCAGATACTGATAGCGTTGAGATACTACTTTTACTTGCCATTATGATATTAGTTTATATTTAACTTAATAATTTACAATAACTTCCACAAAATCACCCGCGTATTGTTCGAGGAATAACCACATGTAACGTCAATCAACCAAACGTCAAACTCAGTAACATTTGTCACTTCAACCGAATCACGGGCAAAATACTTTCGTTCTTTCGATTTTGTCTAAGAAATGCGGCGTTGCCGCTACGTGCATCGAACATAAGGGTGGAATACTTACGCCGATGATATACCAAGTTTATAAGTCAAAAGATATTCTTCCGTTATTATGAGCATATACCGAGTATAACTATTCTTGGTATAACGATTGAATAACCATAGTTTAATGAATTTTTATAAGTAAGGCTATTTAAGTTTGTTTTGTTTTGTATTGTTTTTGTTAAAAAAATATGTACTATTTCTAATTTTTCATTTGTATCCCTTAATTACTTAATAAACGTTTTGTATAACTAAACAAGTTAGTTTTATTAAATAGCCATGTGCTGTAAGATAGGGCAAGTTATAATAATTCTGTGTCATTTAAAAGTAGCTATGTATTCTTCAGGCACATGACGACTATTTATAACACATTAAATTAACGCTATGTGTAAATTTTAAACATTTAGTTTTTTAGAAAACTTACCTTACATGTTATTTTAATGATAATGATCTTAAACTATGTTAATAGAATATTAAATTTATCTTACAAAAATAATTTATCTTATCCCGAATATATCCAAAGTAAACTAGTTTTTTGTTGTTCCTGAAAAGTAGCTCCAATACATCACCCCCGGTGCGACACTGTCACTTTTGCAAAAAAATACAAAAATTAGTTAAATATATAATAATTGTCCTAAAGCCCCCTTTACTTGGTGCGATAATGTTACTTTTGTAGATAATCAAACGGAACTATGTTCCGTATGATTCATCTCATCTGTATCTTCTAAAGTCATTGTTTTGTGAGGTTACAGAGTTTAAAACTCTTCTCCTGAAAAACTAAATTTTTGCATAAGTGACAGTGTCGCACCGGGAGTGCGATATAGCGATTTGTGAACGCACAGCGACGATATGTAATCTTTGAAAGAGAAAAAAATATTAATAAATATTTTTAACAATACAAACATACATATAATTAGAAAGAGAATATATATAACACATATATAATATAATACATATTAATATAAATACATTTTTGATTTATGATATATTATGCCTAATAGAAATGAGATATCAATTTTTATGAATCTGCCTGATTTAATATGAAATCGCGCAACTTCATTTTTAAAGCAAACCGACAGGTGGACATTCTGATCTGTGGAAGTGCATTCCATATGTAGGAGATGGACTGTAGCTGGATTTGAAAGCGGGCAGGTAGCAAAGGTCTCGAATAAAACACTTGGTTCGGAGAAAATCGGAGAACGTTCGAAGGCAGAACATGCTTTATTGCGCAAAATCGATTTCTTATATACAATTTGATTGATCGCACTTAGCTCATATATAAATCAGTTAATCTTATTAGATTCCTTAGAGTGGGGGTACGCTACCCCGCACCGCGCGGGGAGGGGAAGGTTTCGTTGTTTCTCCGTTGGTGGCGCTGTTTTCGCGGCGTGGCTCGGTGTCCTTTATACCATAGGAGAATGACTAACAAAAAAGGACGAGTGGTTGATGTCAGAGTGACGAGCAGGACACATAAGTAGTCTATTAGAAGAAGATCGAAGGTTTTTTGTATGACTCGTACATAAGTAGGTACTGAAAGTGTGGAGTGAGATAACTTGGGGCGTTGGTTGATTGCAACAAAGAAAACAGGTTAGTCATTCATTTCAAAAGGGAGCGATGGGCAGACGCGTGGTCATATTTATGGAGATTGAAAACGAATCGAATGCAGTTGTTTAAAACACGGTCAAGTTTATTGAGAAAAACTGCATTCAGGTCGAGGTAGTACACATCACCAAAGTCGATTATGGAGAAAGTTAAGGTCTGCGCAAGCATTGTCTTTATTTTGCTAGGTAGTAAATTTTTCACTCCAGTAACTTTTTAAAAAATAGTAGTCGTTTGAGTCTGCCAGTTCAAGTTAGGATCAACGTGAGTCCCAGGTCTTTAACACTATTGCTTAATAGTATTGAGGAGGCATCATACATGACAGAATGGAGATTAGTGCCGTCGATCTTACTCATCATTACGCGGCTGCCCACAAGTATAGCCTGACATTTCGCCGGATTTACATTAATGCCAAAATTTTTAAACCATACTAGTATTGCATCAAGATCCCTATTTAGAGCATCAATAGCGTTGTTCAACCCTTCGACGTCTCCTGAGCATATAACTGTAAATCGTCAGCATACAGATGTCACGAACATTGAAGTTTGGACGTAATGAAGTTAATGACAATTGGAAAAAGGACACGAGAAAGAGTGAAACAAAATATGAATTTTGACTATTACTAAGTGCAGTCTCAACGTAAATTTACTCCAACGCTAAACCTTGTTCATTAATAAGGCAGTAAGCGTACTGAAATTGGACGAATTCACCAGCTACCAGCCTATATATATATATAAATCTAACGCTATTAACGCGCATTTGTGTAATTGTGTTGGTCTGATCAAATTCACCCAGAATTTGTGCTCTTTGTGTCGTGTACCTAACTATCCTATAATAAATAAAGTTATTCCTACTTCAAGACATTTCATTTCAAAACAAGAGTTGTCATTCTAAATCTTGTTCAAAATGAATCGTGACATATCAGTGTCTAATAATAAGTGCCCAACTAACAATTTAGCGTTAAAACAAGCTTTAGTAGACCTATATTTCGGTTCTGGTTAGATATTAAAGACTTCGTATATCTTATAAGAGAGTTATAGAGTGTAATAACACCTTTATAACCTGGATTTTGGCGCAAAATTATACAGGTAAAGTCTGTATAAACCCCTTAAAGTGGTTCTACATAACTCTTAGTAGAAGTGTATTAGTGGTGTTATAAGATCATTATTTTCCGTTTAAAACTTTTTTTCACCTGTATAATAGAGTTTACTGAGATCTTAAGTTTTATAAGGTACTTATATCGGTGTCAAAAAGAACTTAAACCATTATTTAGATACCTTATAACTCATTTGTAGCGATTTTTGAGTCACAGTTTAACTAGTTAGCCTTAAATACATCAAGTGTTAAAGTTATCATAATATGACAAGTGCTTCAATCGGTCTACCTTTCATCACGAAATGTAAGTATAATTCCTTAATATATTTTTTTAACAGTGTGTTAAGTGTATCAAAAGCTAATTTATAAGTGCGCTTGCAAGTTTAATGTGATTGTGTATTATGTTACTCATCTCAATTTTGTCGCGCACTCAAAAATATATGATTTTAAGTAAAAAATCAAGAAAACAATTAAAAGTGCTAATAACCTAAAACAGTTTTAGTTTGCAATTTTCAAAGATTGATCAGTTTTAGTCTTCGTATGCACTAATTAAGTCAGAATCAAGTCAATACTTGGGTAAATTTTGGTACTTAGATTTAAAATAAGTGAATTTGTATTAATTAGCATTTGAGGTAATGTTGACAGAAAGTGTTCAAAAATGGTGACTTTTTCCTGAAGGTACAGTCTTCGTTCAAGCATAATACTACACTCGAATAACGATAGCGGCAGTATCCAAGAATGCTGTAAGGTCTTTGGTGATTTAAAAGAGTCACATAACGCTTTCAGCTTTACCTTTAAACATCGAGATTAGGGTTCTATATGAAGTTATTGAAATCCTTAATCTTTAGGTAGCTTTCATCGAATAGTTTAGTATTCATACAAAATATAATCTATAAAGTAAAACTTAATAATAATTACAGCATACAACGCCTGTTTAAATTATTAATTATTTTTTATTTGCTCTTTCCATAGAACTCATAGAACGTCGGTCCTAGAAATTAATAGTAAAATTTCATCTAAATCAGCCAGAGTGGAGTCCCCAGTTCGCGCTGGGATGCCGCTGCCGATGAACGTTGTCGTGTCCGGCCCCTTTGCGCCCGTTACACCTCCGGCGCGCGAGAGGACGACGCTGTGCTACTACTATATATCAATTTGTAGTTTATATCGTAATAAAGTAATTTTTGAATAAAAAATACCGAATTAATAATAAATCTTCTTATTACCTAATCTTCCTATACTGTTTATGGAGTGACAGAAAGTACAATATAATAAATATTATTGTGGGTTACATGAACTAATTTGCACTTAATTTCACCAGAGTGTATTTCATTAACTTGTAACGAATAAGAGAGTTTTTCAACTGTATGCATATTTAAATAAGACGATTTAATGGGAGTTTCAAATATAACATCTTTATTGATTTTTTTTTAATAATAGCGTCTGCAAAATGGTGCTTGGATCCGTGGGCAGAGAAATTGTGCTTTCAAAACTTTCATTTAAAATTAAAGGCACTTAGGGAAAGGTAATAGACCAATTTTATAATTTTTCCCTTAGTATAATATTTTTTTGTAAATAAATCAGAATTATCATCTTCTTCGTCCGAGCTACTATCAAAATAAAACTACCAAAATCGAAAAATCTTTATAAAAAATCTTCCTCATCAAAACTGTACGGAAACCATACTGATATTGTTGCTGAATTTTATATCTCACTCTACCTGTTCTTTTTTGTAATCTCTACGAATTAATTTATCTCATTGTAAAATTGAATGCACAACGTGAAATTCATACAATTATATTTAGCACATAAACTTTAAGTGTTAGAAATATTTAACGGTGTCATTGAAGAGTTACCTACAGCTTATATTCTTACCAAAACCTTTATATCATGATCGTACAAAACTGCTGTACAAACTTTAACTATATATAAGAGTTATACAACGCATGTAGAGTTTGGTGTTACTACACTCTTATCTAACTCCGTTGTAGAACTAATAACGTTATTAAAGTTGAAATACAGTCTTATGATTTATAAGGGTCGTCAATACAGAATATTTATAGTAATAAGAGTTACAGAGAGTTCATGAAGACCTTTAAAATGCTTTTGACATTGTAGGCCGAAACAAGCTTTAACGTTATAAGTATATAAGCAGCTACCGCTACTGCAATAACTGTAGATAAATTATAATTGCGTTATTTACGATTCTAATACCACCACAGGAGTTAAGGTTATTTTATAAGTAAACTGTACCACCTCTAGTGACAACCGAATCCATTATAAATCAATAGTATTACTCTAAGCTTTAAAATAACCTGCAACCAGCGCCTAATTGTTTCTTGGGTGAGAAAGCCGGAGAAGGGGAGTATGTGAGGGAATAGGTTCCTTATGGAGAAGCTCGTCATACCTTAGATCTCATTCATGTCCTTAAATGGGCCAATTAAAAAAAAAACAAAAATATACGTTTAGCAAATTATGCATGCAACATACCTTTCCATGTTGAAAATTAAATTCTAAATTCAGTCAAACACAAAATAAAAAAAAAATATACTGTTCTCCCCTAAGGCACGAAGCTATTGTAGCTTCGCTTTGTTACGCTATAATAACAGACTTCTTAAGCAACAGAAGCAAAAAAAAAAGTTTCATATTTCGTAATTAAATAAGCAATAATAATAATTAAAGTAGTAAATAAAACTGCGTGGTTTTATTTTTTCTATATGTATGGTTCATGCGTCATACTCGTGAACGGGTGCTGCCAATATTCATTTTGAGGATTGGTTTAGAATGGGCTGAGGATTCAATGAAAGTGCCTATTTTGTTGAGAGACTTTGTATGCAATAAATGCTAGTAATTTGGCAAGATGCAATGCATTTTATTGTCTGTTCGTAATTGGATCAACAATGACAATACCTTAACCTTGACGATACAACTATCTGTGACTAAATTTAAGCTAAATGGTACCGGGTTCCTTGAATTTAAGACTAATTTATGGAGAGTCTTCATGTCATCTGCCACCAGATGCAGTCCTATGTTGTTGATTTACTAATACAATATTGAAACTGAATACTATACAGATCTAAGATCAAATATCGATAATTTAATACTCATATTAATATTACAACATATTAGTCTTCCGTTATATAAAAATAACAAATAACATGCATCTTTAAAACACATAAATATAATTTTAAGTCATAAGGTAGTTGATCCTAGGTGAAATCTTCTGCATCATAAGTATGTTCACAATTTAAAGGAATCCTCTGCATATTTAAAGGAAATATACTTGGTCATGGGCTTGGTATTAGATATAAATTATTTCACGGGACTTGAGCATTAAATTATAGGACCAGAAGAAAAGGTACCTAAAACTTACTTAAATAGTATCTATTGGGTTTTTGACTTTTCTTTTTTCCGTAGAGAAAAGACACTCCTAAAGTCTCTTCTTCTTTTGTTTAGATTTGTCAAAATCATAAGTATGTTCACAAAATAGCTCTCAAAAAATAAATAAAATAGATTTTCCCATCTCCAAAATAACCAAAATGACGAAACAGGATGACGGCCTTTTTCTCCTGGAAGCGTTAGTTGATAAAGTCGTATTTGTAAAAAGTCCATGTTTCTCGGATAAAGATTTCAGAACATGCGTGAATATTGAATGTTTAAGCATAGAACCTTTAGAAATTTGTGATGATGATCCAGGCGCTTGTACTTCCAAAAGTATGGGCCCTTTTGTAAAAAATTTCAATAGTGGAAAATCATGCCTATTTTCTCTAAAGGAATCTGATATAACTAATGCTATGAGTAAATTTCCCATTAAAGTAAGTATTTATAAGTCTTTGCCGTGTGGATGCCTGCCGACCAAAATTGTAATGGGAGAAACGACTATAGATATGACAAAAGAATTTGTAGAAGCTCGCAAGAACTTTTTGGCGGATCCCAATAATGTGAGCTATCAAGCGCTGAAAGATTCTTTTCGCATCTTTGGTCCTGATGGTACAGAAACGGGAGAGATAGTTATGTTCCTACGTATATCTTGCTTTGGAAAATTAATTATCACTCGCTTCCAAGGAGGAGGTCCGCCAGCTCTAAGTGCTGGTGGTGGTAGTTCTATTGTTGATCGGTCGTGTAACCCTCAAAGGGACTTTCAAACCAACAAAGACCCTTGCGCTTGTGGCGCTGCTAGAGGAAATGCAGGAACTGAAGCTGCAGGCGGAAAAGGAAGCGCCACATGCACTATGGGTGGAGGAACTGGAAAAGGGACCAATGGAGTTTGCCCGCCAGGTAAAATAGAATAAAGCTGAACATTTTTCCCTAAAAAACATAACATATGTTACAAATGAGATCGGAAAGGTTCTGAAAAAGGCAACTACGTACCGCACGACACTCAGTGGGTAGGCTTCACTAGATGAACCAACGATCTTATTAAGTCTGCTGGAAGCTGCTGGATGTGGGACGGATCGGCACGTAGATCAATGGGGGAGGCCTGTGCTCTACAGTGGGCGTCATTCTGTGTGTCCCATTTGTTTTAAGGAATATGAAATATAATAAGTCAAATTGAGAAAATAATTTTGATAGTTCTATTAAAATAATCTTCAATTTGGCTCATTACGTCTCAAAAAATAAATAAAATAAATCTTCAATATGGCTCATTACGTCCCATAGAACAAATGGGATGATAGTGATGCTACAATATAGAATAAATTTATATTAATGTCTTGATTTTGTTTAAAATAACAATTACAGCACGTGATCCATACAATATAATGCCATGTCAAGATCCAGATGATCCTTGTTATTGTACTGGTCCCAAACCATCGCCCAAAGAGCAAATGGCTTGCAGGAATACAGATCAATATTGTCTGCATATACCGAAAGGTGAGTTTCTTACTTTAACAGTATATTTACAATAATATAATTAAAGATATTGTACTAGAAATCTTCATAAATAAACAAATATTATTTAATATTTTTGCTATGACGATTTCGGTACTATCAACTACTTTTTCAACTTATTTGTCATTATATATTAAATTTTTATATCTTGATGCTAGCCATGAATATGCATGAGAAAAATTTATTGATGGTCAGGTCGCAGTAAGCAATTTGAAGAAATAGGCACGAATCTTGGTGGCAATGAACTAAAGATCAAAGTGCCAGCTTCTGCGTCTATCGTTAAGAAGATTAGTCAAACTCATTGCGCTATGTCATATCCTTATGCTAAAGGGGTAGATGGTGGACCATGTGAACCACCATGTGGAAAAAATCAAATAAGTTTAGCTCTACCTAATGAAGATATCTGCTGCCAAGGAGCACGCCTTGCAGACACTCAGTTTACATGTACAACAGAAGGTTGTACTCAAGCATCTAAGCATGGACAGCAATCAGCCTTGGCTCGTGGTGATATAAAAAATGATGCACCTGGCAATAAAAATACTTTTGTATTAAAAGTAGCAAAAACAGCTATGCAAGGTGATAGAAAATGTAAACTAGAAGTTGAGCTTGTGACACCAAAAGGACCAGATAAAATTCCACCAGTTGAAAAAGTTAACACAAGATTACAATCTGATCTTGACTGTGAATGCTTTGTAAGGAGGCTTAAAAAACCAAAAGGGAAGAAGAAACGCTAAATTTATGTCGATCAATATAAAATAAAATAATAAATCATAATTAGAGCAGTTTATTTAAATAAGTAATTGTTGTTATATGTTAGGAACGTCCTATTTTTATTCAATTTTCAAAACCTCTTAGTCAGTAATTTTCGCTTGATAAACTCACCGATTGTGCAGATTGCTGTCCAACTGGGAACAAGGTGATATTCCAAATGCCATCGGACACATGTGGCATGAACCATAAACAACGTGTTTATTTTAATATGAATTCTGATGGAGTAGGTGACATGGCAAGGGACGAACCAGGTCAACTCATGCCTTCAAATGCTGAGGGTTACCCTGGAGTTATCTACGATTTCCCTGATCAAGTGATAAAATTAAGAGTTGGGAAAACTATTGAGATGCCAGGTCGAAAATCTAAACTTGAATATCAATTTATAACACCATCTTTGACGCAACCAAAAGTAGTCCCCGTAAAAGATACACGCACTGCTCAATGTATGCCATGTTGCCCTGGTGGATGTCCTAGTAGACGCCGAAATTAACTAGTTTAATGATATGAATATTTGTTACATTTTTATATTATGTTCCTATTAAATGAATTGCACAAATTTCTGTCTTTTTTATTTTGAAATTAAATTCTTACTAATTTCCGTATTAATTATGTACTTTCATTTAAATTATCTTTACAACTGCCATGTAATTTAAAAATAGGGTGTTCACCAATTTAAAATATCAACTGGTCGTAGGTGACTTGCCGAACACGCCGTATACACAAGAAATAACTGCAGAGCTGAAGTTAAATGTGATGGCGACTATGCAAAAGGACTGCATTGATATGGATGAAATGGTATTAACAGGATACAATAAAAGAAAATATTTTGAAAATTTTAGTAAACACAATAAACGCTCCTCTGAATCTTATATGGCATATGAAAAATATTCGACATTTACAAACTACTACAAAAAGCCTAGAAAACATAGTATCTCATTCTTCAATAAAGTTAATTCTACGTTAAATTCTCGCAAAACTAAGAATGAAAACGAAATTCTCCAACCTGAAAAAGACGTTATTTTTGGAACAAAAGAAACCGCAGTTTACATGACTCTTTATGACGATTTATTTTACAATCGTACATTAAGGACTCAATCTACAGCCGGAACACAAGCTACCGCATCAATTAATAAATGTTTACAAATACAATTTGAAAGTAATAACAATGAACCAAGCATTAAAAATTCTAACTCTTGTAGTTATTATTCATCTTGCACAATGACAACTTTGCCATATTATGATAATAAAAAAATTGACAGATTGAGATACTCAGATGTTTATTTCTTTGGGCGTAAAAGAGACTCTACAAGTTCAGAAAAAATGGAGATGGGAAAAAAAGGAAAACATCAAAGATCAGGACAGACAAATTCTATGACCGTACAAACTAATAAAGTAACTGGTGCATCTACAGGAACATGTACAAAAACAGTCTCAATTAAAGATGAAAAAACTTGTAATGAAAATACATGTCCAGCAATAGCGCAGCCTGCAAAAGGGGAAATGGTAGCCACAGTATCACACATTAAACTTGGGCCAAGGGAACCTTGTCCAATACATGGTAGAGATCCATGTCAAGGACCTAAATGTATTGTGGCATCATCTGGTGAAGAAAAAGCTCCAGTTAAAGTTACAACTTTGAGTAATCCAAGACGAGGGGTATTTGAACTTGTCATTCGTAGGATAACAGGAGCACCTTTAGCTAAGAATGAACTGATGCTCGAGTGGACACCTCCACCGTGTCAACCATCCTGCGGACAACCCTGTATATTACCCTGTTCACCGGTAGTGCCATCATGCTATCCTACAAAATGTAAAATGATCGTATGTCGACCCTCAGCGTGCAAACCGAAAGGGTGTAGAAAGCCGTGCGGTCCACCATGTCGATCTGTGCCCTGCAGCTTTTGCTGCAAAAAACATTGTGGAAGGCCTTGTCGGCCTTGCAAGCCACGGAGACCTTGTCCACCGTCACCTTGCAAACCTTGCTCACCATGCAGACCATGTAAGCCCTGTAGACCTTGCCCCCCACCGCGAAAAATATTTAAACGTCCTTGTCCATCTCCTTGTTGCAAACCATGTGGCCGTTGTAGTACTTGCTCGAAATGCGGACCATCCCCGCCTTGCAAGCTTCCTGCACCTTGTCGGCCTTGTCGGCGTTGCCGGCGTTGTAAGCCATGTCCACCATTACGGTGCAAGACATGCAGGCGGTGTCGACCTTGCCCTTCTTCACCTTGCCGATCTTGCTCTCCATCACCTTGCAGACCATGCCCTCCGTCACCTTGCAGACCATGCCCTCCGTTACCTTGCAGACCTTTTCCGCCACCTCCTTGTAAGCCTTGTTCGCCTTGCCCTCCCTGTCCACCATTATGTAGTTCATCTCCATGTTGCAATTCTCCATGCCTAGGACCATCTTGCGCAACCTCACGATGCCTATCTCCTTGTAGAAAATGCTGCAAAAAACCTAGGAAATGTAAAAGTCATCCGAGAATAAGAGCTCATCGTAAGCGTATATCACCGTGCGCTAACCGTTCTAAGTGTTGCCCCGTGGTACGTTGCCGTAGCCTTCCAGGCGTATGTGTAGGATATTGCGGCATACTGCCATGTCCACCTCTAAAATGTTGCTCGGTAATACCATGTAAGCCACCCAGATGTAAAAGTAGTTGCTCGACCTGCTGTGCTTAGCAATGAATACAATACTAAAATAATAATAAATAGCTATTTGAAATTCCATTATGTGTTTAACCTTTTCCTTTTCATCGAAAAGCATTATTAGCATTAAAAAATATATGATTAGGGAGAAATAAAGGTAACATAAATATAAAGTCAACTTAAGTAATATTTTGTTTATTTTTCTATTTATAGGAATTCTTTTTTATTTTTGCATTTTTCAAAGCATGTAGGTGCATTTCGACTTGTGGCGGGTACTGCTTTTTGCACTCATAGCTCGAGGTCCAAATACGAACATTTTATTTTAATTGTACCAAAATCATCATAGATGGTGTCTTCAGTACCAACCAGTTACAAGTAGATTTTTATTTGGCTTATTTGGATATTAACAAACACGCTTATATTTTAAATATTTTTTTAACTTACAGTTTCTCAATCAGTACAAAAACAAATACAAATAGTGATAAACGCGGTATCCCAATTTATGGTACTTGGACATATCAATTTATCTAATATCAGGAATTTATATTGAATGCTCAGTAATTCCAAACCAATAGAGTTTAATTTACAATAACAGGTGATAGTCAAATCATGACATTATAATTTTTAATTTTCACTGTAAAGAATATAGTTTCATTATCACTAAAATAGTAATTACTCTATAAAAACTGTCTATTTACTGAATTTAGTACGAAAGGCTACTATGCCCGCCTACCTTATATTGGATGCTTACAAAACATTTTCATAATTGCGTAAATATTATAAATATACTCGTTACGTTTCAATCTTTCTGAACGCAAATTCGTTGGTATACCAAATACCTATATACCTACTAGGTGAATAAGTAACTTTTTATTAAAATAACATAGTTAACGCCATCTATTTGATTTTGGAATGTACTATCTAATAGATTAGTAGTTTCTTTCTTCCAAACTGCACAATTATTGCAGAAGTAAGGTAATATTAATAAACCAGTAAAATAATAATTTGGCGAGATGACTTTCTTTTTATCTTTAGTAATGGATTATAATCGACTAAACCAATAATAATATATATTAACAAAACTATTTTATTCAGGACTAAGAAGACCGAAAATAATGATGGAGTGAGAGTTATTATGATATAAGTAAATAATGTGCATGTTGTCAGCCTCACTGAAGTCTTTCCAATTGGTAATTAAACATCAATTTCACATTAACGATGTTTTTTTGACGTGTCGAATACATTAGGTAATTTTTTATAAGGATTTATTGGCGATTGACAAGAAGATGAAGGCGTATTAGCCGACAGCTTATGCTTGCACAACAATTTCTCACTAGACGTCAAGTTTGTAGAAGACTTCTTCATCATCTGTTAATGACGCTAAATTGCGTCAATCTTAATCCAGTCAAATTCACGTAGCAATTGAATACGATATAACTATAGATAATACGATACACACTGGTCAGATTAAACAAAACTGACAAATTTCTTCTATTGATTTAAAATTCAACTTTAATACGTTGATGGTCGAATTCAAAATCAGTTGCAGAAATTGTTATACTATCTGACTTGCTGCCGTATATTATAATAATATATGGTACGATTTCACTAAGGCATGGCGTGTAACCTGCTGTAGACAAAACGTGCTATCTTATAAATGACTCGTCGAACCACCGCACCGGCAAAATCTACAGTTCGGCTCTGCTGTGATTTTTCAGTGCTAGGGTGCATAATAAGAGAATTTAATTCTGCTTTTATATATAGGTCTTATAGGTACTTTGGCCCGCGTAAATTATAGCTTATGTTACTCACGTACCATCAAGCTTCCCGATTGTATGTTTGTACCAGACCGATTTTAGGTATTTCTTTACATACCTAAAATCGGTCTGGTACAAACATACAATCAAATCTTTCCCATTTATAATACAAGTAAAGATTTAAAAAAATATGCAATCTGTTTGTCGTTGAATGTATTATTTTTATGGATACTATATACACATATTTATATAGGGGAAAAGTCTCTTTAAGGAATGTTACTTGACGTTATGTGTACCTAACGTAATGTTGCTTACAAAGAAAAGTAACGGCAGTGTAGTAAATTACCAAGACTTAAGATACAATTACCAAGACATAATTCATATAAAACAAAGTATATGTAGCTAGGATGAGACACGGTAAGTTATTTCATCATTTAGTTCCACTATGGAAATACTGGAATTTTTTCTCCCAATACTTCTATGGAAGGGCGATGTATGCGATGTATGCTATGTGTGCAAAACAAATGAAGTCCATTAAATCCAGTACATACAATGAGTCTGTTTCAGTACATACGATTTGATCAACTTCCTTTTTATTAGCCGGTATTAACAAAAAAAAACATGACTCTTTGGTACATTTATTTTTATTAATACCTATATTACAAAATTATTACTTTATAGACGTAGAAAATCATTGATAAATAAATGTACTAGTAAGTTAAGTACATATTTGTTAACAATACCTGTAAATAAACAGCTAATTATTATGATCATACTAGATCTAATAGGACTACTTGTATCGCATAAATAGTTTTTCCATCTAGTAGCTCCGCAGCCTGCGATCGTTGTTGTTAAGCAACTTTCACAGGGGTCGGTCATGGGATGGGTGATCAAAAAGCTAATCGATCTCGAGCTAATCCATGATTATGCCATGGAAGGCACGTAAAACCATTGGTCCCGGCTGTATTTTCATTACGCGTGCTGCGCTTCATTTACTTTTATATGAAATGAGAAGTGTTCACATTGCGTATGCAATGTGAACACTCATGCTGCATACGCATGCTGTTGCATGACAAGAATATTTTTAACAGCATGACAAGAATATTTTTTTTATTGTTTACTTCGATCAACAATACAACCTTTTTACCGTCTCTTTACCTCTTTTTACTCTATGACACAAAATAGCTAAAGCAAAGTTTACTCTTTGAGCTAAAGCCATGCTAAAGCTATCACCTCTTTGGCTATCACAATAACTTTGACATTATCAAATACCACTCAAAATTCTCGTGAACGAACATATACCTAGCAATGTCTGTAAAAAGTTCTAAAGGAACCCAGGCTAAGGGTAAGCCTAAGACGGAACAGCCTAAGGTGAGGTTACCATCACCGCCATGTCCTTGGCTCTGCAGCCTTGTGCCAACCAACGTTCCTCGTCCAGGTCCAGCTCAAACAGTTTTACATCCTAGAAAAGATGTATTTGTTCTAAAGGTAAGAGCGAGATTAGATAAAATCCTCGAAAAATCAAAAACTTCCAGAATCACTGTAACTCCTTGGTGTCGAATCACAAAAGGCTTTTCGGTCCCAAAAAGTAGCGGCAATATAAGTTCACAGTGAGCCTATATAGCAAGTTATGATTCGTTATTGTGCCTAACAGTTTAAAGACTGGACCATGATAATTTAAATCTTTTGTTATTCACTTAAGATACTTAAGATAATGATTGACTTTTACTGGAATTGAAACTACTCTTCAACATGGTGAGAACAGCGTAAAAAATGCCCGCGCATTTTTCAATCGGATTCGCGTCAAATCAATCAGATTTTTTTGTTGTGTTGATTATGTTTTACTTCTTGTACAAATTACCAAAAGCATTGGTATTGAAGAAAAGATCTGCTTTGCTATTCTGTAAACATACAGCGCAGAACAACGTGCTACCACTGCATTAGAGTTTTAAACAAAGAAAACTTTATTAATAATCGTAGTCGAACCAAATAATTCTGCTGTGCTGGCTTTTCCAAACTGGAGTCAACCATTAAACAGTTGTCAAAAACTTTAACAAGACGTTAATAAGTAAAATTTATATATTTCTCTCATAATATTATTCATATATAAATTTAATACTTTAATCTGAAGGTCGCTAAGGTGGGACCTAATGGTGATCGTCGGTGTAAAATGGAACTCGAACTTGTCACACCAAAGGGTCCAGAGAAGAAGGCATTGTGTCGCATCGACACAAGAGAGACACAGTGTGAGCCTGAACCACCATGTTGCTGCTGCATGCGACCGAAAAAGAAGAAGAAATAACCATAAAACCATCATATTATTCTATCAGACAAGACTTAGTTGCTTAGAACAATAGAAAATTTTCATAGAATTCATAAATTTATCTTTCCAATACAGTCATATCCAAAATAATAAGGGTCATTAACAGAAATTAGGTAATTTTTATTTTTATTTCTATCCCATAAGTATGTTAAATCACTCTCTCTCTCTCTCTCTTTCTCTTTCTCTTCATGTATAAAACACAGTCATATCTCGTTGTCTGTACGTTGAAATCTTTTAAATTACAAATTTAATTTTATTGCGGTTTTGAATTAAAAATACAGAGTGACTCAAGGGGAAGGTTTATACCAATGTATATACATATGCAAAGAATATTGTATTTATGTTTACATTTTATATTACAATACATAAACAGGACCATGCGGCCGAAGCAGCTGGCGAAAGCTAATATAATATATAATAAAAAAATTCTACCAAAATACTTCCCACGCAGACGAAGTCGCGGGCACAGCTAGTAATATAATAAATCTATGACTGTTACCGCTTTCACCATATATATATTGGGTATATATCAATTTGATTAACAACATTGCTTACTTACTACATATTATAACTAATCTAAATAAAAATATTCTTAAACACCATATGGATTTACTACAATTTATACAATAGATAAATTTATGAGTCAGGGAGACAAATTTATAACACTATGTAGCATTCAGGAAAAATCAGAAGGATAATGCGCCAATACTTTGACGCATTATCACCATAGAGAAATATCATTAGCATTTGCGCTCAAAGAGAATTTGAATACACTTACGCGTAACATTTGTCACTTTTTAGAAAAATGTTTAGCAAAAATGAATTTTGATTAATTTACTTCGTTGGAATGTGAAATTCAAGACTAAATTGATATTAATCTAGATTTTAAAACATTTTCTTTATACAAAATTAATGTTTTTCGGACTTTAAAATGGGTAAAGGTGACGAAGCTAAAAAACCCCGTAGACCATACGAAGAAATAGGTGCAATTTTTAATGGTAACGAGGTAAATAATCATTGTTATAAATTTATTTCCACAAACTTGCATGTTTACTGTGTACTGAATATCCTGTGATTAAATACAGTCGAAGTGAATAAGTGAATATCACTCATCCGTATTTTATATTCTTATCTTTACCTACATCTATTTGTCTATTGAAGATATATATGATCCAAACCCTCAATTATGATTACTTTTAAAATTAAAATTTACCATCCTTCCATTACAATAATTTGGTTTTAATAAACATTTCTTTTATGTTCTAGAAATGAAATTTATAGTATTTAAATAAATATTTATGATTGCGCAGTGTTCAGTGTGTTCATCATCATCATATTCAGCCCTTTTTACGTCCCCACTGCAGGGACTTAGGCTTTCCTTATGGATAGTTAAGGAAGATGGGCCATGACCCTCTATGCTGGCTCAATGCGGATTGGATGATGGTTAGGGTTCAGTGTGATCAGTCTGCAATTATTCGTAAAGATAATAATAATTTATCATCCCATGTACTCCTCCGTGCTTCACAACTTTAAACTGATGTTGCTGGTTGATTCTGCTTATTAATCCCCACCAATTGCCCCATATAAACCAAACATTCTAACTTTTATTAGCGATCAAGCAATCAAAGACGTGGATCACAAATCGTGATTTGAATTTCGAATGTGAATTCTAACCTTGCATTGCGTGAAATAATCACTTGGCGTGGAAGCATTTAATCCGCTGTTCTGTCAATTTTGTTATGAGTTATTAATTCAAAAGTTCCCAGTTATTACAGCGTGTGCATTGACCACAGTTTTAATGCCACTAACATGACACAGGCAAGTCTATTGTGAACTGAGAAGCTTAATAACTTTTCTAAGTTAATGTCGTTTATCAATATTAAAAGTGTTTATTATATCATATTATTATGCACTTTCTATTTTATAATCATGGCTAGGTTAAGATCCGTGTCCCGAAGAGCACATCTAAACCTCCAAAGTTAACTCCTTCACAATTGAAGCTACAGCAGCAATGTACTTGCGAGGATGACGCTTCAGTGTGCTCTGAAACTTGTGGCCTGCCAGGTGAACGAGGAGCTGGTCCAGATAATCAACTACACTTACAAGTAACTAATCAATTAGTTTCTCTATTAGCATCAATCCAAACGCATTTTCGTCAAAACCAAATAGTTCTTCATTTCTTTCTTATTCACTCGTAATATATTCCTGAACAAGATAGAAAATTCTGTCACGTTTTAATGCATTTATAACAAAACCTCTAACACGCAGTTATTAATGTTACAGATTCCGGATGATATCTGCGAAGCTCTCACTAACAGAACTCAATTGAATTCAGAGCTAACTTACAGCAAAAATGAAGCTCACGAGAAGATGTGTAATATTTGTAACATAACACCAGACGACGCGCCTAAAGGAGTCCAAGCACAGAAAGTTCTACACCCGGACAAAGATGTGTTCGTCTTAAAGATCGGCAAGCAAACAGATGAACCCAACCGCACTGGTAGCATTGAGGTAATCAAATAAATAAAACAATGCCTGTATTCTTTCGAAACGATAAAAATCAACCTCATAGAATTCCTTCATTACTAAGACAAGTCCCAACTTAAATAAGCAGTGATGAGGAGTTGCATTTTATAGAAATACCGTAATCTGACTGTAAGCGAAACTGTGACTTGATGAGTGCACGTAAAACAATAAATATTTAATACTATACTAAACTTCATACACTTCAGCGATGATCTGTAAATCCGTCTTAAACACAAGACGGATTTACAGATCATCGCTGAATTTCATTGATGCGCTCAACGTATCTTCCGTGAGATTCGAAGTCCACAGAGAAGGCATGTGTCCCAGTAGTGGACACATTAATAGGCTAAATATGAGTTCGTCTTATATCACAGAAATAGAAATTCTACTTAGATGAATACGTGTTCATTTAAGATAAACAAAAAGATTGACAGACTCAACCATACTGATAACAAAGAAATAAATAAAAACCAAACCATCAGCTAAGCCCTGCTACTGACGGCTGTGGCTACTCACTCCCGAGGTGCATTTAAAAACAATTCAAGTTCACTATAGCAAAAACCTAACGACTTGCTGTTGACGATGTGAAAACATTTCGATTGAACACAGAATAGTTTTGGCCTTTCCCGAAAACTGCATTCAAGTATTTTTTTTTTGCGGTGGGCCTTTGCATAGAGGATATACCGACGCCCCCGCGAATAATCCGGTAATCGAAAAAATGAAAATGTTCAGGAAAAATGAAAAACTGTTTTTTGATGATAACTCTTTCAAAAGTTGAGTTTCAGAGACTTTTAAAATTGCTTCTGAAAGTTAATTTTTTCTACTATTTGGTTATTTCAACTATATTTACTCGGATATCAGCACTTAGTTACAATTTAAGAAAACGCATGTTACTATACCAGATGTAAGTTAGTTCTGATCAATAATATCCCTTACGATGTTATTCGCGTAAATTAATATTTTAGACTGTTACATAATATTGGGTAACAATGTTATTCGTGTAAATTGTATTGTATACTACTGCTCTGCAATATTGTGTTGCGATGTTATTCATGTAAATTGTGTTATATACTTGATATTGGTAGAAAGTAATACTGTGTTATTCGGTTGATTAAATAAAATATATATTTTATTGTTTTTACCATTACCGCTTATGTAAACAGTCTGCAAAAGTATTTATTTTTATGATTATAAACTATTTTTTAACGTGTTAGTAACGGAACTACGTTGATTAGTTTAGTGAAACATAACTTTTAAAACAACAATAATCAGACAATAATAAGCCAATAATGACAATCATGATAATTACAATTACTAGGACCGGCTACATTATTTAATTATTATAATCTGCATCGTCATCTGATTTTGGATTATCATGATACCTTAAGTTTTTGTAAAATGATTGGTAGTGATTGGGAATCGCTTGAGAAGTATACAGGCTAAGGAGCTCATCATATAAAGCTTTTCTAATAGGAAGAAACTGGCTTTAATTAAATGCTTTCAGTTTTCTTGTGTGCCTGTTTCTGTCGACGTTTACTTTTGCTTTCATAATCCAATTCAATGTATTCTTCATCGAAGTCATATTTTAATAGAACGCAATTGGGTTTGGTAATTGATACACTAACCTCCATCACATCGGACCATCGAACTTTATTTCCTGTCTTATCTTGCTTTTATGTTCAAAAATTTCAGACTATTGCATTTCTTTTAGGGAGTACTTGTCTCCGGAGACTTTAGCGTTCATAATGATACTATAGACTTGGTCCAGTGTATACAAAACTTTGTTTTTCAAAGCACTACACGCGTGCATAGAATCGCCTTCATTTTGACTATGCCCACCAACAAAAAAATCTATGGGTGATGTCAATTTGAACTGTTATTGCCTCGTAAAGATACAATGCAAAAATATATCTGTTTTTATTTTGGCCATAGCAGCCGTCAGAGTGAAATATAAATTTGCGTATACCTTTTTCGTGCTCGGTCTTTATAAATTGAAACAAGCAACTTCCTATTTCGGTGCATCCTTTCTTCCCGATTTTAGCTTGCCACACATAACAAAACCCAAGTTTATTTAAAGCGTCAAAGACGAAATTAGAAATGGGATATTTCCGTTTATAATGAAATATTGATATTTCTGATTGTGGTACATTTAATGCTTTTTCTAAATCGTATATTACTACTTCGGTATCCCTTTTATTTAGATTTTCATTTCTTCATTTTTAATTTCACGGTCTCTCTCATTGTCAAATATTTCAGGTAATTTTCTACCAAAGACCCCTTTGTATCAGATTCAGCTTGCTGATATTGTGAACATATAGTACATTGATCCTTTTTGGGCTTAAAAAGGAAAAGTTGTAGTTAGTATTAAATATTCTTTCATACTGTCGCTTTGAAACCATTACAACATCTGAATAGTTCTGTTTTGGAAACCATGACATATAGAGGCGGTACATTTTTGAAATATATAGAAATTCTGACAAATATTCTCTTAGGAAATAAATAAATACTATTTTTTATACTGATTTTCTGTATCTAGTTTCATCTGATCTGGTCTAATATGATGTCTTCCTCGATTGCCAATCATACTTTATAATACCTATATATATAATAAGTTAAATATAACTTAAATAATATAAATAAGGTTATTTTGTTAAATTTAATGGGTCGAAGTTCGTAGCATCGTTATTGTTCTGTTCTATTAAGGTTCCTTTATAATCTGCTAAAATATTCCTTCTACGTTTAATTTCTCTTGATCGGATTCATTGAATGTTTGGTTTATGCTCTCTGAAAACGTTTTCTTGCTACAATTTTCATCACAGTTTTGATTATCTTGTTCATTTTGTTTCTCTCCCTTTTCACTTAATTATATTTATCAATATCTGTACATTTGTAAAGTTGTATGAATCTATAAGTTTATCAACAAAAACACTGTTAGTTTCTGGTGGCGCTGGTTCAATTGTTATTTCGATTTCATATTTTTCAGTTTCTGTTTCTAAATTTACTAAGATTTCTTTTTTCTTCTGAATTAGATATTGCCATATTATTCAAATCTAGGCTGGAAGGTCTAATTGGTGTAAAAGTAATTTCTAGGTTCTCACTTGTTTGTTGATCAATTATTTCAGTTCGGTTAATCGGAGTATTATGAGTGTTATGTCAGCAAGTTTCAAAGAAATACGAGTACTTTGCTTTTTCGATGAATCAAAAGTGTTTGTTATATAAATGATATGATATATACATGTTCTGTCCATGTTGACTACTTTACTCGAATAATATCGTTATATCAGTTTAGAAGAGGCTGAGTATAAATTGAACGTCGTTATGAATATTATTGCAAACTTGTTTTCATTTATAAACCCGAATAAACACGTAATGTAACTTACTGATATATGGCGGATTACTATTAACCCGAATAATACCATAACAGCTGTATACTGTCAAATCACTTCGATTTTTCTTTTCGTAAAGGTATAAAACCATATTATTCGTTAAAACTACATTGTAATACATTGAAATGGAAAATAAACGTTAAATTTTATATCTTCGTAAATATCAATAGGAAAAATCTGAAAAAAATATATGAGGTGTATTTTATATTCTTAAAGCCGAAAAACACATAACATGAAAAACCCGTAATAGCACATTGCCGGATTATTCACGGGGGCGTCGATACTACAACAAAATTTGAATTTTGGTGAATATCTCGGTTATAAAAAGGATTCTATTGTAAACTAAGATAAATTTTGTTTAGGATTTATAATACTTATTAAGTTTAACATTACATATACTTACGTTTTATCTTATTTTGATTTTTATGATTAAGTTAATATTGACAAGGATCTTCATTTTTTAGATTCCAAATTTAGTTTCAAATAGTGTCTTATTTACATTCGAATAATTTTGAGCAAAATTTTTAGGTAATGACTTTAATTTACTTAAGTCTTTGAATACTGAATTTGATTAAACTTGGACGAAGATATGGTTTAATTCGCTTTTTATTGTTGTTCTATGTATCGATAAAATGCCTCTGATTGAAAAGCTATGAAATAACACTAATTAAATTAAATTGCACTAATTTGCTGTCTATTTTCTAGGTAGAGCTGATTACACCTAGAGCGCCTGCGAAATTAAAGCCAGCAACCCATTTTTGCAAGGAAATTCAGTGCGAAGAGGAAGATATACCTTGCTGCATGCCATGCAGAACTTGCCTTGGACCAATTCCCAAGAAAAAGAGGTCCAGACGGTCAAGATGTTGCATGTAAATTATTTTGAATCGTTTCTATCTATAAAAGTTCTACAATTGAAAATATGTAAACTTATATAATTAACGTTAAAAAGTAAACTTGTCTAAAATTAAATAAAAATTGTAATGGTATTTTCTTATTCAACTTTCTTCTTATACATCTTATATCCCTGAAAATTATTTATCTATTATTTTGTATGCAGCTAATGTGAAAAAACATTTTGACAGTATGCCTTTTATTATTTACGTTCTAGCTTTTGCCAGCGGCTTCGCTCGCGTATTTCCTTGGGAAATGTTTATTGGGTTAAAAAGTATCCTATTATCTAAGTCAGCTAATATTTTCTTCAAAATTATGGACAAACATCCAAACAAAGAAACTTGCACATTTATAATATGAATAGGATTGTTCCTGCCATCTTTTCATCCGCACGGACCCGCCCGAAAGCTAGTAAAAACGTTGGCTCACTAAGCTCTCTTCAAAACGCCCTTACTTTTGGGGTAGGGGGGGATTGTTTGTTTCTTTGTTTGCAATGATTAGGCTTCGAAACTAATAGATCGATTTTAAAAAATCTTTCACCTGTGAAAAGCTCCATCACATGGGAGTGAGGCTATAATTTACGCTCAGTCGTAGGAGACAACTAGTTATTTATATTTGTCCGGCCTATGTTGTTGTGTCTTCGGTTCTGTTCGTTTAAGAAATTATATGTTTTATTAAGAGTAGTTGCGTGATGCTCTTATGGAAAGA